GCGGCATGCTCGAATTTCCCGCGAAAACCTACCCGTACCACTCAAATTAAAAAACATTATTATAAGCTAACTGTTGTGAATCGGGCTAAAGTAAGGCGATGGTTTTGAACACTGGCTGGTTATGTACTTGCTCAAATAATTGATTTCGGATAATTTTTAACCAAAAAAAGTTACGAACTGCAGCTATAATTTGTTGTGTTTTTTTTTTTTGTTTTGTTTTTTTTATTCTTTTAGTTTTGTTTTGAGTTCTTTGTTTTATTTTTTTGTTTTTGTTTTTTACTTTTTGTGTTTGGGGTTTTTAGTTTTGTTTTAGGTTTTTAGTTTAGTTTAGTTTTAAATTTTTGTGTTTGTTTTGTTTTGTGGTTTTTGTTTGGTTTTTAGTTTTGTTTTGTTTTTGGATTTTAGTTTTGTTTGGACTGTGTGTGTGTGTGTGTGTGTGTGTGTGTGTTTTGTTTTTGTGCTTTGTTTCGTTTCAGGGTTTCGTTTCGTTTTTTTTATTGAACATGTATCATGGCACCATGCTTTTGGACATATTCCATGTCAATACCATGTTGCTCTTTGAAATACCTTGTCATGTCATGGTAACATCATGATGCATGTTCATCATTCAGTTCAATTCAATTCACGTTTATTTGTATAGTACTTTTCACAATACACATCAATGCAAAGCAGCTTCACAGAAAATGAAAGTTTCTACATTACAATTAGGAGTAATTTATCAGTGGTGACTCTGTCATGGTATTCAGTACAATATCAAATTTTAACCTGATACCATTAGTGTACCATGATACTGCCACAGATCTTTTTATGAGGTTATAAAAAAAGAATGATGTGGCTAGATGTTGGTCATTTAGGGGATTTTGATACATTTCCTTTTTTTTTTTTTTTTATCAAGGACCCAGAATCAGCAGCCGCACTGTAAAATGTGCTTTTGTCTCCTCGTTGCTGCTTCATTTCTGATACCTGAAAGAGCCCTGAACCATGATTTAGATTTGACTCATGATAAGATGGACCACAGATTCGATTTTCAGTCCCCATCAGCAACATATAGAAGTATAAATGGCCAGGATGTAATTATTATGCAGCCATCTGAAGTGCAGGCTTATGGTTTGTTAGGTACATTTGATTCATGATACATTAATCACAACATCACTGCCATTATCAAACGTAAAGAGGAGGAATGCACCACAGACGGTTTCCTTGGTAACAGAGATGGAGCAGACGGCCCCTAATTCCTCTTTGCATTGAATGTTTTGTAATGCGCTGTAAGTGTGTGGATGGCGTAACTGAGAGTTCTGCTGCCGTTGACAAATTTCCCATCACAGGTCTGACCGAGCCTGGGATTTATCTGTGACAACTTTGTCCTCTGAGAATTGCCTTTCACTTTCTGTTTAAGCATTAAGCAAGGAGATAAAATGAAACAATGAGAAACAATAAAGACTTCAAAATGGCACATTAGCTACTAGTTTTGAAAGTAATATGCTGCATGTATGCTGTCAGTGTGTATATATGACTACAGTATATATGACTATATTCAAAATATAACACAGCCTCTGCTTAAATGTCTTCTTTTTGATTATTATATGATTGAACAGTCCTAGATGAGATCTTTTTACACACAATTGGATTAACTAACTATTAATTTCTCATAGTTGTGCCTTTATATCTCACAAATGTTCCTTTATTTTCCATAATTGTGACTGTATCTCATAATTGTGACTTTAAATCTCACAATTGTGGTTTTATATCCCATAATTGTGACTATATCTAATAATTGTAACTAACATTCACATTAGTTGACTATATCTTGTAATTGTGACTCTCACAACTTACTTTACATCTCAAAATAGTGATTATTTCTTGTAATTGAGACATATTGTGAATATTACTCATAATTGCGACTATTTCTTATTACTGTAGCTATATATCTGAAAAAATAATGCAACTTTATTTAGCGTAATTCTGACTTTGTATATCACAAAATAAGTTTTTTTAATTTTTTAAACCTTATTTTGATTTAAATATTTTTTAAACTTGAGGTGGTAATTGGTTTCCATATATACCTCATATGTTAAATTAAAAAATATTAGGCAGTATACTGCATGTATTGAACAGATTTAGTGAGCAGATTGCTTCCTTTATGAATATTGCCCATCAGAAAAATGACCCAACACAAGTTAATGTTGCATGTTAGCACATATACAGTAATGCAGACTGCTATTAAAACCAATTGAAAGAAATGGGTAAAGTACATGAAACTAATCCAGTAATTGTACCTGTATGGTATTTGTGCAGGGTGCTGCTGCATACCCAGAAAATGAAGACCAGCAGCAGAGGTTACGAGAGGCTGCTGAAGGGTTACGGGTCGCCACCAACGCAGCCGCTCAGAACGCCATCAAAAAGAAACTCATTCACCGGCTGGAGGTGAGGACGTGCATTATTACGCCACCTCCTGTTCAGTGTCCGCTCTGTGTTTGATCCTGCCTTGTAACTCACCGTTTGAACATAGTAAATTATAGTGTTGTGGAGGACGCTGATAAAATGTAAAAATGGATTATGAGCCCTTCCTCAAAATTAAACTTATGTCATCATTTACTTAACCTCATGTACTTTTTCATTTAGGGTCATTTAGGCTACTTTTATATAGTTTTTTCCTTATTTTTTTTTTAAGCTCAACTGCATCCGTCCCCACTTTTTTGTCTGTTTAGGACAAAACACATACTAGCATGGAAGAGGTGGCTTTTTATCCACATGTATGTGGTAGCGGTCTAGTTTCCGTAGTGGTATTTTTCCATTGGCCAACAGTTTCGACCAGTGGAATCCAGCGTTCTGGTTCTGTTTGGTCTCTTCACATCAACAAAGATGGCTTTGTTCTTGAGGTTCTTTTTTTTCCTGTCTCTTCCATCTATCATCCTTCCTCACACATGGAATATTCTTTCATAATACAAAGAATCTTTTTTCTTTTTGCTTGCCTTCTTTTGCACTTACTTCTAAAGTGTAGCATGTTGCCACTGGATTTTGCTAAATCCTTTCGTGATGGACATGGCCAGAAACATCCCAAATGCTCTACAATCCTTGCTGAACCCGTAATGAAATTCAGTCAGAACAGTCGGGTCTTTGTACGGTTAACACAACGTCCAACACTGTGCAGAGTGATGCCAGATGTTAGGGCTGCACAATTAATTGAAATAAAACTGATATTGCTTAGCATCAAGTCGCAAATTTAAGACGGCGAGAATGCAATTTAATTATATAAATAAAAATAAATGGGCATATATTGAAAAAGTGCATGTATAGAAAATGAAGAATATTGTAATTTTACAGTTGTTTTGTAATGTAAAATTATTATTATTATTATTGTATTTTTCTTAAATACTTTATTTTTTTTTATTTTAAATTAAAATATTACAGTAGTAATATTTCTTATTTTTATTTAGTAATAGTAGTAGTATAGTATTAAAATAATAATAATTATTATTATTATTCCTACTAAATAAATATACAAAATATTTTTTTTTATCGATATATCTTTTTTATATTTTATAATGTAATATTATAGTAGGAATTTTTTTTTTATTATTATTTATGTAGTAGTAGTAGTAGTATTTATTGTTGTTGTTGTTGTTGCTGCTGCTGTTGTTGTTTTACTATTTCCTATTTTTTTCGGAGTAATATAATAATAATAATTAGTAGTAGTAGTAGTAGTAGTAAATAAAAAAATATATTATAAAATTATTATTTTATTTATATAGTAGTAGTAGAAGGCAATTATTTATTTATTTTTTTTTTTTTTATGGCCAAATTGTGTTGTCCTGCAAAACAAGCACAAAAATCTTTTATTTTTTTTTTGTAAATCATAATTTTTAGTCTTTTATTTTTTAGCATTTTTTTTTTCCTCCAAATTGTTCAGCCCTGCTGATGTAATAGTCCGCCACAATGTCCACATTCGTTATTTGCTGTGCTAGTAATTATTGAAGCTGTAATTCGTTATTGTTATTTGTCTGGAACAGAATGCAGCAAAACAGGCCGCAGCTGCAGCGACGCAAACCATTGCCGCCGCCCAGAATGCAGCTGCATCCAATAAGAACACCATGTCACATCAGCAGCTCGTGCTCAGCTGCAAGGTATTGTGGGTAATTCTATTCTGAGAAATTCAGGGCACTCATTTATAAGAGAATTTAAATGAAACTATTCTGACTGTGGATTTGTGGATGCTCTCCAGGCTGTGGCCGACCATATCCCACATCTAGTGCAGGGAATGAGGGGCAGTCAGGCCCACCCGGAAGATCTTGGTGCCCAACTCGCCCTTATCATCGCCAGCCAGAGTTTCCTGCAGGTAAAATGCACATGCAGTGTTTGTTTAGCAGCCTATGATTTGTCAATAAATGATCCTCACATTGTTTTTGTCATTGTTTGTGTTTCATTTGTCTCCAAACAGCCGGGAAGTAAAATGGTGACGTCTTCTAAAGCGGCCGTTCCGACGGTAACCGACCAGGCAGCTGCGATGCAACTTGGTCAGTGTGCCAAGAACCTGGCCACCTGCCTGGCAGAGCTGCGCACAGCTGCACAGAAGGTGCCCACAGTTTACTGCCTTCTAGTAGATCCAAAACACCTTTAAACAATGAAGCATATTGTAGTAACCTTACTACAATGCACTGCATCAGGTGTAGAGATCTTTCCATTACTCATGTTTTAAAGAGACAGTTCATACAGAATCGAAGATTTTCTCATAATTTAAGGTGTGGTCATATTTACAGTTGTTAGGCGAATTTTCACGGTCAAAATGGGAATCTGTGCGATTGGGACCGTGCCGGTTCTCCCTATACACAACGTAGGCTACTCTGGGCTTCGGGTGTGAGCTTAAGCGGACAAATACACACAAAAATATGTCATACTGACTGCCTTGGCGAGTTTTCACTTAAAAGCAGTCAGTTTTGTCTAAAGTAAACATAAACAGTTGGAAAAGTAACTGAATGCTTGTCAGAATTTTAGATCTGTGCAGTTGGTCTTAAAGTGACCGGAGCCTAATAAACATACTGCTGTCTGTGTCATTTAATGTTAATCAAACAACAAAAGAAAATGAGAGAATCATTCAATGTTCCTCACTGAATAACTTTAGTAACTTTAAAAAGAATCAGTGCATATTTAAAGGGGTCATATGAAGCGATTTCAAGTTTTCCTTTCTCTTTGGAGTGTTACAAACTGTTCGTTAATAGATAAGATCCCTAAAGTTGCGAGGACTGAAGTCTCAAACCCTTTTCACCGCTCCTTCGTCGGATCCGCCGGGACCGCCGTTCTCGATCCCGCCGCCTCAGCTCACGGTAAGCCGGGGCTTTCGCTCATGCTAGGCCGCTGTGTTTTTCGTTGTGAAAGTGAAACTACTTTGTTTGGTCTTCCAAAAGAGGACACGACTAGAAGTCAGTGGTTAAGTTGTATTTACAACACTGTTCCAGAACAGTTCAAACCAAATATTCATGTGTGTGCAACACATTTTACGGAGGACTGTTTCCTGGGAGAGTGGTCTACAATGCTCTGTTCTGACTCACAGTCTGTAAGTACGTTTTCATATTTAAAGAATTTGCCACTGACGATTCAAACGTGAGTTTTGAGCAGTGTAGAGTAGCGCTTGTTGTTTGTCATTTCTCCGATCACAAATGCAAACATGGTTTTATGTTTACGCGGCTCGATACGCAACGCAATGCGTAAAAAGACAGTATAAGTCATTATAATCAGTAATTATGTCCCCACTGGATGCAACAAATGCCTCGTTTATAATGGGTTTTAATGTTTTTGTCTCGTTGCACCGGGACACGGCATCACAGTATGGTAAGGGGCGTAAAATTTCCGTCACATGCTTGAGGTATTCGGCCAATCACAACGCACTGGATAGCTGGCCAATCAGAGCACACCTCGCGTTTCAGAACGATGAGTTTTGTAAAAATCGACGCGTTTCAGAAAGGCGGGGCATAGAGGAGCAACAATAATGTACAGTATGTGTTTTTTGAACCTTAAAATCGCATAAACACATTTCATTACACCAAATACACAAAATAATGTTATTTTTTTAGCAACGTCATATGACCCCTTTAATTCATACTGTGAAGGCTATGCAGTGTTAGTCTTTATTTAGTAGTTTAAAGAGGGTCATTTTGGGGTTTTTATGAGCACAAGGACAGGGGCCCCTGACAAATTGTTGCTTAGGTCCCCCAGAAGTCAACTGGTGACAGATTTGCCAGTGCAGATTTCTCAAGGGGTTCATGTTGGTCATGCTAATTTGCCAGTTTGGCTAACAGAAAGCTGCTTGGATTGATAATGACTTTGTAAGCTGCTACACTATTGACAGTACACCTTAGTCTATTGTAGCCGTTCTGAAATTAACAAGGATGAAAAGAAATAGACTTACTATGGCACACATTGTATAAAGGTCCTTGATCACGGTCCCCAACATTCCCCAACTCACATTCAAAACTGTTTTATTAAGTTTTTATCTACTGGAAGTTTTCCAGAAAGACATTTATCAGCTGAACAATTAATATGTTGTTAAACAACAGTACAGTCCACTAAAGGCACTGTACTTCAGTCCCTCACAGTTCTGTATTGATTCCTGTCAAAAATAAATATGGTGCTTCCCTGTCTAAGGTGTATGGACAATGGAGCTTTTTCACAAAAGTTCACTGAAATGTGTTGTTGTTGTTGTTGTTTTTATCTTTGTGTGTTGTATCATAGGCTCATGAGACATGTGGTCCTCTGGAGATCGACTCTGCTCTCAGCGCTGTTCAGACACTCAAGAGTGAACTACAAGATGCCAAAATGGCCACACTGGAAGGACAACTCAAACCACTACCTGGACAATCGGTAGGTGAAATTTACCACATAAAAATTTATCATCAACTTGTTAGCTGTAGTTCTCACCGTTACTACTTCACGCTTGTGTCTGTAGTTGGAGAAGTGTGCTCAGGATCTGGGAAGTACGTCTAAAGCTGTGGGCTCCTCCATGGCCCAGTTATTGACCTGTGCTGCCCAGGGCAACGAACATTATACTGGTGAGACGACTTATGTTGCTTTTCAGCATATGAAAAACAATACTTCAGGAGAATCTATCTATACTGAATATGAAATGTGCAGTATAACAACAGGATTTACACAAGTAGGAAATGTTCCTGGATTAACGTCCCATCAACCAATTTACCCTCTGAATTTTGGGTTAAGGCCTTGATTGTTTGGTAGAACACAAACAGCAAATGTTGATCCATGAACATGTCTTGTTTTTGTAAATCACGTTAAGCCAAATGATGTACTATTTATATACAAAATTTAATAAAAACTCCAAGCATGCTTCATCTAAAGCACTTTAGAATGCTTTCAAGATCTTATGTGTGTTTGCCGGAATCGAACCCAAGACCTTGGCCTTCCTAGTGAAATTCTCTACCAGTTGAGCTAAACAAAAAGTAGTTAATCATCCAGGGTTTTTATTTGCAGAAATATCGAAATTCGTCTTCTAAAAATGCATCTACAAGATGTTTGGCTGAGTTTTCCCAACAAAGCTGCTTGTTCCAAATTAAAGGCATGAAAACTGAGAGGAGAGCGATGCTGTAACTTACCTGCACCACCCATCAATTTTTCACTCTGTCGGGCTGGATCGCTGCTCTCTGGAAAGCTTCTCAAGCCAAGGGTATAACTAACCCCCGTCCCTCATTAATCTTATTTTCACTAGATTTAACATACCATCAGCAATTGGGCTCTACTTGACTGGATAATGCAATTTGATGCAATTTCCCTGCATTGGCCCTTCCTTTTTTTGCTTTCTGTTCTAAGTAAAGGCCAGATCCCATATGGTGCCTTATTTTCTTTCCACACTCATTTGTTGGAACAGCAGGGGCATTCTGGGTCAACCATGCACCGAGGCTTAAAGCTTTATATGGAACAAGACATTTGGGCTGGGTGCTTCAAAAATGTCCCTCATTTTGCAATACAGTTTATTGAAGTCGGTCATTAAATGTAAAAATAAGGTAAAAAATGAATGTGTTGCTAATTTATAATGTACAGATATGATGCAAGACTGTGCAAAAGTAGACGACCAGTGTTGGTAATTAAAGGTAGGGTAGGCTAGCAATAGCAAGCTAGCTTTGAAAGCATAAGATCCCACCCTCTGCAAATCACTGTCCGAAGCCACGCCTCCTCCAAAACACATGAACGCTAACCAGTGATACGATGAGTAATTAATAATCTCAGTCTTTCAAAATGATAGACAGATATAATCTCAGAATGCCAAATATTGGCCAGTAAATTGAATTTGTCCATATATCGATAAGTTACTGTAATAGATAAAATCTCATGATATCAAAAAAACTGCCGATTAATTGTTCAGAGTGATATATCCTGTGATTGCTATGGTAAATATCATTTCAGAATGTCAAATATCAATTTATGATCTGGCCAATATATCGATAGATCACTGTGATAGATATAATCTAAGAATGCCAAACATCGCCCGATTAAATTAGTCTGACAATTATATTGGTAGATCTCTTTGATAGACATCATCTAAGAGTGCCAAATATGTTCCATTTAATTGGTCTGACTGTTATATCGGTAGATCACTGTGATAGATATAATCTAATAAAAAATAAATAAAATAATATTGTCCAAATTAATTTGTCTGACTGTTATATTGGTAGATCACTGTTATAGATATAATCTAAGAATGCCAAATATCATCCCATTAATTGGTCTGACTGTTATATCGGTAGATCATTGTAATAGATATAATCTCAACATGGCAAATATCGGCTAATTAATCGGTCTGACGATTATAGCAGTAGATCACTGTGATAGATATAACCTCAGAATGCCAAATATCATCTGATTAATTGATCTGACTGTTAAATCGGTAGATCGTTATAATAGATATAATCTCAACATGGCAAATATCGGCTGATTAATCGGTCTGACGATTATAGCAGTAGATCACTGTGATAGATATAACCTCAGAATGCCATAAATTGTCCAATTAATTGACCTGTATTTGTGTGTGTGTGTGTGTGTTTGCGGCAGGTGTGGCAGCAAGGGAAACTGCTCAAGCTCTGAGGACGTTGGCCCAGGCCGCGAGGGGAGTGGCAGCGAGTACCGTGGAGCCCCAAGCTGCAGCGGCCATGCTGGACTCCGCCTGTCACGTGATGGAGGGCTCGGCCATGCTAATCCACGAAGCCGACCAAGCCCTAGTGTGCCCTGGTGATGCCGAGAGCCAGCAGAGATTAGCACAGGTAGGACAACGCACATTAAACCACATGCAAATAAAGACAGATGTCCACCCATTTTCAAGAACATTTATTCAATGACAAGTAGATGCTGAAGTAGAAGTTTGGTTACATGGCTATCCAAAAAAAGAGTATTTATTCATCTTTATTTGAGTCCAGAATAGTTTTTGTCTTCTTCAGCTACTGTGTTAAAACCAGATCAATTTCCCATCAGATCCCTCTTGGCAATTATCTCCAATAAACTGAGCTATTTTCTTATTGTCTCTCTGTTTCTCGACGACCTTATTTTCTGGAAGGTGCCAGCGTGCCTCCTGCTTCGCACAGGTTCCTTTGGGATGCAAACATATTGCTTGGCATATGTATGTGACAGTGGCATAAATTAGGGACACAGATTTCTCTGTTGTGCCGAGGGGCTGATTTGAATTTTAGATTCACGCCGCATCTCTCTGGGCCTTTGTAGAGTTATTGGTGGGAATGTGTGTGTTTGTTGGTGTTTTTCAGGTGGCAAAGGCTGTCTCTCACTCCCTCAATAACTGTGTGAACTGCTTACCTGGACAGAAGGATGTGGACATGGCTCTCAGGAGCATTGGCGAGGCCAGTAAGAAATTGCTTGTGGAAAATGTGAGTTTTTTGTCAGTTCTTTACTAGCTACTAGCGAGTCTAAACATAACACTGTGTAAATTATTTAAAAAAAAATAAAAAATAAAAAAATTATGTAAATTGTCACAATTTCTGAATGTTGTACACAGAAATTCCTTCTGATCATGTTTCATGAATGAGGCCCAACAGTGATCAACCCTAACTTTTTCCAGCTTCCTCCATGCTCCAAATCCTTCCAAGAGGCCCAGACGGACCTGAACCACACGGCAGCCGAGCTCAACCATTCAGCTGGAGATGTGGTGCAGTCTTCACGTGGGAGCAGCAACCAGCTGGCTGTGGCTTCCGGGAAGTTCAGCCAAGACTTTGATGAGTTTTTAGATGCCGGCATTGAGATGGCCGGACACACTCAGGTACAGTTTTATTGCCCTCTTAGAGCTGAGAGATGGTTTATAACATGCTTCACCCACAGAGAAATCTCATTGGTCAATGTACATTTATGCATTTAGCAGACGCTTTTATCCAAAGAGGAAGTCAATCCAACAATATTCATAATACACAATGCCTGGTTTGTTAGACAACTAGATTAGGTCCAAAATCCCACTTACATAACTGCATATTGATCAAATATGTTCTTTCTGAATGTGAATTTGTTGCTTTACACAACATTTTCAACTAATGAAAATTTTTCATGTACTCACTCACCAAGGCTGCATTTATTTGTTTAAAAATACAGTAAAAAGAGCAATATTGTGAAATATTATTGCAGTTTAAAATAAGTGTTTTCTATATTAATATATTTTAAAATGTAATTTAGTCCTGTGATGCAAAGCTGAATTTTCAGCACCATTACTCCAGTCTTCAGTGTCACATGATCCTTCAGAAATCATTCTAATATGCTGATTTGCTGCTCAAGAAACATTTCTTATTATTATCAATGTTGAAAACAGTTGTGCTGCTTGATAATTTGTAGAAACATACTTTTTTCAGAATTCTTTGATTCGAACTTCAAAAGAGCAGCATTTATTTAAAATAAAACTTTTTGTAACATCGTTCAAAAGTGACAGTAAAGACTCTTATAATTTAATGCATCCTTGCTGAGTAACTATTATTTTCTTTAAAAATAAAATCAACTTTTGAAAGGTAGTATACAATAGTTAAACAAC